ATACCTAATAAGTCTTTCATACATAGATTCTCATCATTAATCAATCACCAAATCACATACCAATATCACATTTTGACCAATCAACAGTAAGTCACGTAAATAGACAACACATAAATCAAGAAAACACGATTAAGATATTTATTTGCAAATAAATCAATAGATGAGGACAATATGGGTAGATAAACTAAGTAAACGAGAAAACAATTAAAACCAATTATTTAAAACATATGATATAATAATAAGCATTTTAGGCAGTATATGAGAAAATAAACAACAAGCTAGGACAATTATACACTGACTGGTTCCAGCTCAACTTGTGACTTGTAATTAATTTTAGGATTTTCTAATTTTTACAAAATATAACGTTATTGATTATTAAACTTCAATTTACCATAACAGGAAAAAAGAGTGAGAGATTCTTACTCCGGATCGGTGTTAGAAATAATATACTTTTCACTGTATCTCTTTGCAGTCTCCGAATTTCTTGATTTTTTTTTGCAAAAATTAAAATATATGTCACGTATCATAAAATACCCTAAAAAGTCAAAATAGGTGTTTTTAAACTCTTTCAGCCAATTTAGGGTTCCGTTACGGCTGTGGTGTCATGCTCCGGCACCGGCTCCATCGCCCGCAACTGCAGTTTCTCTTGGCCTGGCTGTTTTCAACCGGTTTTGTATGAAAGCCTGCAAAAAATCAAGTTAGTAGGCCTCTGTTGGTCGGAAAAGGTGAAAATCGAAACCCCACCGGTGGAAGGGTCTCCAGGTGTGGCGGCTCCGCTGTTCATTTTTTGCGGTTGGGGTGTTTCTTCGACTAACTTACATCATAATAAAATGAGGAACACAACGGTAAAAAAATCATGGAAAACTAGAAATAAGAAATGGGAAGGGGCTCATCGGAGAGGGTTTTGGATTTCGGCTGAATTATCACTCATATTTTTTGGCTCACCCATCAACCTTTCAGCTCTGATATGGGCATATGAAGATTCAGAATTAAATTATGAGAGGAGGGGAGGAAAATCGTACATTTTCTGCGTCGGTGGTGGCTCCAGTGCGACGACAACTATGGCCGGTCTCCTTCTCTAGCATCTAATTCACTTTTCGGCTGCCCTTCTTCTTCATCTCTAGTCATCCCTTTGTCGGCTAAGGTTTTGGTTCCCTACGAAGAGGAGTTTAAACACTCATCTCCATTCGATCCAGGCTATCTGTTTGAGTCGATGTGGAGCGAGGAGAACCGTCCGATCGTTGCTTGTTTAAGCCGATCACGTGTGAGCATCAGAGTCATCTATCAATATTAATCTCATCCGTCTGATCGCGTCTGAAGATAAAATAGATCTAAACCGTTTGTGTGTGCGGGACGCGATCTGAACTGTTGGATCACCCAGGCACGCAGATCGCCCACGTGACCTCCCGCATGGAAACGATGTCAGTGTGTCCGCCACACAATGAGTTCTGACTCACTGTTGTTGTTGACGTGGCCGTCTCACGTGGTTAAA